GTCTTACCAGTAAAGAAAGAAGTCTCAGGATGACAGTGTATTAGGAATAGGCAGTTCCTTAAAGATGGTTTGGTAGGAAGAGAAACGCCACAGTAACATATGTAACTGTTGTGCTAATAAGAGTCCTCTGCCTAAACTCTATAATTCTATGATAAACTGACACTTTAGCAATGTTTATTTTCCATTATTGTTTGGAAGACCCATGAAGACATGAATGGGGATGATAAAATGCCATGCTTGGATACGCTGTGTTGGCTTCCAAGACTGTGGTGTAACCAGATTATGTACGTGATGAATGTTCAGCTCCTTCCTCATCCCGCAGAGACACTGGGACAGAGGCTGTGTCTGAGGGGCTGCTGTAGCAGGAGAGGAAGCATGGTCTGCCCAGGTGTTTGGGGTTTTTTTGATGGTAGAAAGGACTTACAGCCTCAGAACACTTCTTTTTCTCTCTTTAAAAAAAAAATAAAATAAATTGCATATGCTGAGTGTCATTACAAGTGTGTGTTTCTGAAAACTCGTGCCAGAAGCATCGTAATTGTTAGTCCCCCTGGCTTTTGTCACGGTGATAGAAAAGGAGCATTTGGTGGGTCTGTCATTCCTGGGTCAGGCAGCAGGTGAACTCATATGCTAAAACTAGCTGAGTAATGCTGCAATGTGTATTTATTAGCTCCAGGGCTGACAGACGGGGCTGTTTGCTAAATCCTATTTTTCTTGCTGGGTAACTTTACCTGAGGAGCAATCTGCTGTAGCACAAGTGGTTCTGCGCAGTGGAGGGCTGAGGGCAGGGGGGCCTCGTTTGTGAAACCCTGCCTGTGTTCCCAGCGTTGGCCAGCGGCAACTGGTCTGTCTGGCCAGAGCGCTGCTTCGCAAGACGAGAGTCCTGATCCTCGACGAAGCGACGGCGGCGATCGATCTCGAGACGGATGATCTTATCCAGATGACAATTAGGACCCAGTTTGAAGCCTGCACAGTGCTGACCATAGCGCACAGGCTGAACACCATTATGGATTACACGAGGTAAAAATCTCTTCACGGTGCGTGGAGGGGGGGCTCACTGGTTTACTGGGTATGTGAAGCAGCACTTAAAAGGGTCGGGTTTGTCTCTAGATAGTCACACTGAGGCTCTTGTCAGGTAGTGTGTTAGCAATGATGTTTAAACCATATAATCCTAGAATATCCAGACCCGACTTTGCTTCTGTTGGCATAAGAAAGATGTTCTATATTCACTAACCAGAGCTGTGCCAGAGACGCTACCCAGTTGCATTAATGGCCCCATCAGCAATTTTATGGATCCTTTTTTAACTAGGAGCTGCTGTAACTTTTTCTCTAACATCATGTCATATTAATTACTTTAAAATAGATTGTTATACTTCATAAGCTTTTATCTCCTTGGCTTTCTGGTACTACATACCAGTATGACACTTTTTTATTTTTCTTTCTTTGTTTCCCCCCTGGAAGATAGTGACTGTCCTGTACCTTTTCAAATCAAACAGCAGCTCAGGGAGAATGTTTATCATCTGTTATGTTTCAACGTGTGAAAATAATTGAGCAACACAAAGGCAAAGCTTAGAGCAGTTTGCTTTGTGATAAAAAGGTGTATCACGTTTCTTGCGAGGAATTCACTGACGTATCTTCCCCCTCCACCACCACCTTTTGTTTTGCACAGGGTTCTTGTTCTAGACAATGGAACCATAGCTGAATTCGATACACCTGCAAGCCTTATAGCATCAAAGGGTATTTTCTACAGTATGGCCAAAGATGCTGGACTAGCATGAAAAGAAGACCTCTGGGGTTTTTGGTTTGTGTTTTGTTTTGGTTTTTTTAACATTACTGACTTGCCACAAAAGTGACTTGTGAATGTACTGTAATTTACAAAGCAGTTTTTGTAGTAGACTAAACTTATGATATGTGAACAAAGTATTTTACAATTATAAGGACCAGAAAGTGAATTTTATATTTTTAAGTATTTTCTATATACATAAAGTATTTTATTATCTCCTTTTTTTTTCCCAAAGAATGCCAAATATCCGGCCAAGAAAATGTTATGTATCGCAGGGTAATATGTACTGTATTCAGGTTTACAATTAGTAAATTATATTAATGGTACAAAATACACCTGTTTTCTGTGTTTTCTGCATAAGGATTCATTGGCTTTGAAGTGGAAAGACAGGCCCAGTTAAGCAGTGACTCAGCTGAAAAATAGACAAATAATGTATAATCTCTGAGTGATTCCAACCTGTTCCTTTCAATATTTACCCCCAGGACAAGGGAGTTGAATGCCACAACTTCCAGGCTGTGAGCTACCCCAGGACCTTTGGTATCCCTGCCCAGGGCAACTTAAACATTATAAAATTCCTCATTGGCATAAGAATTATGAGTAACGTGTATTTAAAACTAAACCTACAAATGGCTTAATGTAAATCATTAACTACATAATTTTTATCCATTTAGTAGACTCCACATAAGCCTGCAGGGACATGATTGGCACAGAAGTATTATAATTTTGCTGTATTTCTGAAGACACTATGAGTAAGTTTCCACTTAAGCTGAACATGGGTGCTGAGCAGATGTGTAATTTAACTCATTCAGCACTTCATCACCTGACATAATATGTGATTTGTTTTGCAGAAATAAATACCTACCTTATTATTGATAACCAAGCCTCCTCAGATAAAGGGTGTACTGTGTTTAAACAGTATTTGCTGATAGAATCTGATGGAATGTCTCTTGCTTTAGTTGTTCACTTCCTCCACCCAGAGGAAGGAAGTTCGTGGGTTTCTCCATAAGTAAAGTTCAGAAAAACTTTGAGAAGACAGAAATAATCATTTATTAATTCTTACAAATAATACTTACTAAATAGAAGCAAGAATCTGCAGCCAAGCATTCACTTGCCATAAACATTTCATACAGCAGAGCACAAAGTATTTATCATACACAGTAACATAATGATTATACACTGATCAGATTGTTAGCAGTGTTAATAGCATCATCTGTGTATAAACTGCATAAGGTAGAAAAATATTCCTCTGAATGCATAGATAGTGATCTGTATGTGTGCAAAATAATCAGTATAACAATCAAGTCAGCAACCCAGCAGCTGAGCTTTCCTCTAGTAGGTCTGACTGGTTAAGCCTGGTACCTTCATGGATTTAGCTGGCATTTAAACAGCCGATGCCTAAACCCCATCTGTTCCGTGTGCCAGGGATTGCAACAGACACAGTGTGATACGAGGAACAACAACTCTCTTACTTCGTTATACAGAAGTTAATACACCACGTGCAATTTGGTATAAAAAATAAATGACTCGGACCACATTTGACCTCCAACGCTTTTCACGAGAGGGTATTTTGTGGTGACAAAGCGTTCTACTGTTCGCCTTAGGAGACCGAGCTTCAGTCCAGTTAATGGGCACACAGGAAATCTGGGTGTTTGCATGGATCTGTGCTTCCAGGGGAACACTGGACATCCGACTACACGGCAGACTGGGAGAGGGCTCCCTCTCGCGTGCTCAGCCACTCCGGCTGAAGCTGCTTCCCTTTGCACAAAGTGCCATTCACTGGATGAGACAGAGAGAGCACGGGGAAATCTGGGTACCAGTTCCTACTGTATTAGCGGTAATACAGGTGACTGCTCCGACCGCGGGGCAAGGATGAACTTCTTTACCTGCCACAGCCTCTGAGAAAGGAGACAAGGCTGTGGTGGAAACCCTAGTCCGGTCAGAGGAAGAAATCTGGAGCGGTAAGAGCTCACGATGCAGTTCTCACCTCAGCCTTTCCTCCAGCTACTTTGGGTGGGTCCCTGCTCACATCCACATACAACGTACAGCTAACCTGGGCTGTAAATTCTTAGACAAGACAATAAATTCCTTTGGTTGCTGTAGTTTCCAAAGAAACTGGGTTGGGGAGGACGGGGGAAGGTGAAAAAACAGTGGGAAATTCAGTCCAGTTTGGTGTGTTCTGCTTGCCTGCTATATCTCTTAACTTTAGTTCATTCATCTGATCCATAATACATGCTTTTACAGTTAGGCTACCGAATACAACTCTTCTTCAAATGCAGATGACTCAGTAAATACTAAAATCCTAAAAAAAAAATAGATAAAATCCAGCTCTTAAATACTTTTCAATTTATTTATTCCAGAATTTCATAGCAAAGTAGTCTAATTCTGAATTTTAAGTTAACAGGAAAAGTCATTTTTCAGTAAGCAACGCGAGAAAACACAAGTCATTGGAAAAAAAGAAAATACATTGCATAGGAACATCAAGATTTAATATCAGCCCAGAAAATCCTGGGCAGTTCACTAGTTTCTTTTTACACAGGCAACTTTGAAGTTTCAAGATAGGATCTTTCTCAGGAATGTAGAGGTAAAAGGAAAATAAAATTACAATATTTGTGCTTTTAAAAGGGGAAATTAAAGCAGCATTGGAGAACTGTGTTTTCAATACAGTAACAAAAATAGTATTTTAAATTGCACATGTCAATACTCTCTATTGACAGACAACAATAAAAGGGATTTTGGTTGAGAGCATATTTACGATTTGAAAAATTACTGTCACTTTTTGTTTTCAACCTGAGAAATAGGGAAAAGTGTAAACAGGGATTAAGAAATCGCAGGTAGTAAGTCACTTGATAGTATTTAAACTAGACATAGTTTTGTGCTTCTTCCACAGATTTAAACCCTTCTGGTTTTCTCCTTCTAAATAAGATAAGACTTAAAACACACGATCTAAAAAATTAACGTTAATGGTAATGGACTCAGTAGAAATATTAAATGGGTTTCATGGCAGGCTCTTTAGCTTGAGTACCTCTGCTATTTTATAGCAAACGAATTATTAGAACAGTTTAAGGTAAGCCTTTCCCTGAGAGCTGCTAACTCTACAGTATTTCAAGATTTTTGTAAGGAAAAATGTTGCATTCAGAGACAGTTCTACCAATACTTCCTTTGCTTTAAGCTACTTTTGTATCAGACTCATTACTCTTAGATTAACTAGAGGCTGTAACTGTGCATAACAACTGCAGTTTATTTCGAGGTTAACAAAATAGATTTTTTTAACATCATTAGCCCTTATAGATAATTGTATTTTCAACTGTAGTTTTAAATGAGAGATACAAATATTTTGTTTTATTTCTTTAAACAATTAGTACGTCAGTTCTGATGCCTTCTTGTTATAACCACTCCGTTCAGAAAGTGTTGGGACTCTGAAAAGTAAGTTTTTGTCGCTTACTGTTAGAACAAGCTCCAGTTCTTGGAAATCCTGTAGCCTTGCAACATCTTTGTCCTTTAAATAAACACAATAAGTTGTTAGGTCATAAACCATCTAATCGATTTTGCAGAGGTAAGTTAAAATAATAGGCTCATACTAACACAAGGTATGTATTTATCCATAAATATGACAATTCTTTACAGTAAACTGGAAAGCAGACATCCTGTTGCATCTTGTATTTATTCTGGGATCCTATTCAGCTCCTCACTTCAGGCTGTTTTAGAAGGAATGCAATACTGGCGGTGAGTGCAAGTGATTAGTGGAATCACACTTGTAGAGATCTACTGCATGCCTCTCCCAACTCCTTTTTTTTTTTTTGCCCTTGGTAATTCTTAGAAGCTCATGAATTGATTCTTGCCCCTACCCAAGAAGGTCCTGCACGTAGCCTGCTCCGGAGCGGCCCCGCAGCGCTGGCTCAGGCAGGGTCTCAGGGGAGCAGTGGCAAACCCCCCCCCCCCAGCACAGGCTCCAGCTCTGACCCCTCTGCAGCACCACTCTGCTGCTAAACAGCATTACGTAGAATTAGTTGTATGTCACCTTAAGGAACAATAAGTGTCCTGCAGTCCTACCTGGTGAGCCTGAAGTAATTAGAGCCGGAAATAAAAACAGTCTTTTCAACAACTTAAGTTGGCAAGTGACAGAATTGTTTGTCTATGTTTTTTTTTTTCTTTCCACTTCTTGACTAAGTCATCTTATAGTCAGTGAAGATGCAGTACAGTGAAGTCTATTGCTCTAGTACTAATCAGATCAGCTCCACGACTGACGCCAACAATGCTCTAGAGGGATCTGAGAGTAAAAGAAAGGTCAACGGGGAATGAGCACAGCAGGTCAGCACAGGTAAGCATCGCCGAAGCAAAAGGACAGTTACACTCAGAGACCTGCGCTCAGAATAATTCTGCAACGCCTTGCTGGTTTTGGAACGGACTGCGTGCAGTCCGCGCTGAACGAGCACCACTCGGCTGAGCACTGCTGGCTTTTCTGAACGCTGACGGCAGGTCACAGTGCTGAATTCAAGAATGTAGTAGAGAAATCATATAGTAATTGGGCTCAACACCAAATGTTTGTGAAAAGAAATGATCATGAAATTTGAAAACCTTTTTAACTAAACCAAAAACAACTTATGGAAGTTGAAGGGAGGTTTTTGTTGTTTTGTTTGGGTTTTTTGCAACATGGGCCTCTGCAGGTGACCAACAAATTATTCCTTTGTAATGGTAACCTAAAAATCTTTTTTGTAAGTTACTGCACTTCAGAATTGAGAGTTCTTACCTTTCTTAACATTGTATTTGGTAATTTTCTGATCTTCTGTACGTGCTCAGGGTTAACACCCAGCTCACGGCAACTCACTCGGAGCAGCTCCTTATAGGTCAGCTCTTGTCTGTCCAGTTCAATTTCAATGAAGTCATTTTCTCTAAGATTAGGGTTTTGTATTCTAACTTTAAGCACCAGTTCTATTAGAAATAAAAAGGTACATTAACAGGCAGATGTATTTAGGAATTGGAAAAGATATCTCTATTCTAACTTCCAAATATTTCTATGTTTTATTAACCTTGTTTGTGTCATTTGTAACAATACAAGAATCCTCAGAAAGCAAACGACTGGACTTGTGTGACCACAGTCTTCATTAGATTGACTTTCATCAACCTATATGAAAAAATCATTACAAATCTAATACAGTGTGTGCATGTGCATGTATGAACCTTTGCATGAATACTCTTCTTACTGGATTCAAGCTAACTTAAAATCAGATCATACTGGTTATGAATTTCCTGAGCAACCCAAGATTGCTTTTATTGGTTTTTTGATTATTTTGGTCATCGGTTAACTTCTTGCTAATTCATGGCATCAGAACACCTTTTATTTCAAGAATGACATTCTGAACTGAAACTGAAATTCCAGATTTCCCTCTTTGGGCAGGCATTATTTGCCTGCAGAAATGGCAGGTAAATGGTGTAATAGTTCACCATTAGTAAGAAAGCTATTAGTTAGCAAGCTATTTAGAGAATTAGATTACCCTGGTGTCTCTATGCTTTTATAGCGTTTGAGACAAATGGCAAATGTTTGCATCAATATTTTAATAACAGTTCCAGCAGAAACAGGATTATCTGCCTCTTTATGCCTTCAAATGTTTCCTGAATGCCTAAGCATGGGAACCTAAAAAATCTCTGGAAGTGCTGTGAATACGCGTAACCCTGATTAGTCTGTTTTCACTGTCCAAGATGACAGAAGTTCTAAGACAAAGCGAGAAGAGGCTGTTACTGTTACCTTGCATATTAAGTGGAAAAGCTCCTGTGAAGAAAACGGGCTGAAATGCCGGCACGGGCCCTGCACAGGAGCCGTTCTCCTGCTGAGGTACAGACTGATTTGATCCAGCTGGCGAAGGGGCACTCCTGCCCCAAGACACGGGTCCCTGGTAAACCGGACCTCTCTGAAGGATGGCTTTGGAGCGTGGTGGTGCAGTGAACCCTCTGGGCAGCGATGGGATGCCTCCACTATCCACTGCCTCGGGAGCAGCGTTCCCACTCTGTAATGGTGCACGCGTGCACCTCTCCACATCAGGTAAGGAAGGAGAGTTGGTCTCTGGCGGTCCCACGTGTGCGATACTCCCATTCACGGAGAGATCTGGAATACTGTTACTCATGGTGTTATAAACGTAAGGGAAAGGTGGGTTAGCCAGATAATTGGGGATGATTGGCAGATCTGAATCTTTCTTGAAGTCTGGGAGTTCATCATCTTCCACTGTAAAACAAACAAAACAATGTTCTCCAAAGCTCATTTGAGGGGAAAAAAAATGAAGTATTGCTATTGCACTTTGGGGTTTCTTTCTTTTTTTTTTTCCTTTCTATTTTTTTTAGGGGGAGGGAGTGGAAGGTTAAAAGCATCACAGGATAAAAGATGAATCAAGAAGCACTATGCCTTTTTTTCTACAGTAAACCGAACCGTGCTCAGGTGTTGCAATACCGTAAACACAAAAGCAGAATCTGATTCCAGTAATTCTACGGGTGCTATTTCCTTCGAAACACTGCAATACTTTCAGTTTGATTCGTTTTCTTTTAATCCATGGCCAGCAGGTTGTAACACGGTCTCTGGTGGTACAACACTATTGTCTTCATAATGTATAAGGCGATGAAAACCAAAGGGTAATACCTTGTCCGATTAAGGCAGGGGATAAAGGGAAAAGAACATGCAGTACTGGGAGAGCTGAAACATTACCAATTCAACAGCTGGGAGACAATAATGAAAACAAAACCAGACAAGGGAATACAAAGAGGAGGGAAAAGGTTGTTAATCGACCCCATTTCAAATTCTTATCACCTCTAGCAGGAAAGCCTGCTCTGCTCCAACAGTTACAAAACACAATACAAATGCTCTACGGAAGTCCTTTAATGAGCTGTTTCTCTGGGCTGCTAATTTTCCATTTATTCAACACAGTGTCTAAGCTCCACAGAGCACCAGGAAAATGAGGTGTTGCTCATATAAAGGCTTCGTACATATTTGAGAGATTTTCTCCTGTTGCTCTTTTGAAAATAGGAAGCTGCATCTATCTACCACGGGTTTAATCGTGGCATTTTTCTAAGAACAGTTTTTCTAATTTTTCAGTGTTTAGAAAAAAGTTTGGCTAGCTGGATGTAGAATTTGTTGGTAATCCTCTTTTCTTAAACTTGGATTTCTTACCAAGTGAACACTGTGGAAATCAAACCATAGTTATTACTAAAACCCAAACACAGTGTCTTCACATGCAAAATAAAGATTGGAACATACATGCTTTAAACCACCTTTCACTACAGTCTCTGATGATCAGATCGCATAGCCAATAGGTTTACCTCCCAACATCTTCCTTATCTCTCTCTTCGACGTTAATTGGGCCGGACTTTCTCCCTTCTTCGTGAGGATCTCCTTGTCAGCACCAGCGTGCAGGAGGTAAGCCACCACTGGAGCATGGTTCCGTTTACATGCCCAGTGCAAACACGTCCTGCACATGGAAAATGTTAACGCTGTTGGAAATACTAAATTACAGCAGATTGATTTTCACTCGTTCTTGCTGCCTATGAGAAGAACAAGATCTAATGCATGTCTAACTTAAAAAAGGTTTTAATTGCAATCTTCCTTGGAAATTTACACTGGTTTTGGAGGAGCCTGCAGGGACACCTGCTGATGTAATTTTCCCTTGCTCTAATGCTCTTGATACCAAGTTACCAGAGTAGTATTTTTAAAGTTCAAGATCTTTTCCATTTGTCCTTTATTAGGCTACTAACATTTGTGGAAAAATAAAAAGGCGGCTTGTGTATGCTATTTTAATCTTTAAAAGAATAAGTTGTACTTAAAATACTTGCCTGTGTATATGTGAGCTAATAGAGATACTTCCCTAGGATGCTATTTTTACTCTTTAATTAATGCTCTCAGCACAATGACTTGCACTTTTGGGGAAGTAAATTATGTTTAAAATATTGTAAGCGTAGTTTGTAAGCACAGTTCTTTGCCCAGTTGCTGTTCACTACACCAGCAATTCCCAAGCTCTGATCTGCAGACAACTAGTATTCTGCATCTGTAACTGATGCACAGAACTAACGGCTTTTCTGTTTTTTTTTCATTATTATTTGCAGTTGCTGACCTAGAGACACTAATAAAGAAACATCTTAAAAGCTACTTAGCTTATTTAGTGCTTAGTATTAGGGACTTAGCAGACTCACATTGTAACTCGCTGTACAGTCTTACCATTCGTCCCTATCTCAGGTTCTCGTGATGTTTGACCTTTCTCCAGCTTTTAACTTTTATTTTAATTCTCTATCTCCGGTTGAAGGAAACTCTTTGAAAAAATGAACACAACCCTTCTCCAAGTTTGTTTGTTTGGTTTTTAAGAATTAAATAAAATAAAGCAGAGATAAATAACACACTTATAAAGGGAAAAGTTTCAGTTGAAAGTCCTGCTCTAAAAAGCTTTTTCCACTTTCTTTTTTTTAAGAGACACAGTCATTGGACTGCAGAGTTGTATCTTGACCAGTAACTCCCAACTTTGAATACAAAATTCTGTTCTTTTAAATTTTCTTATGTAAAAGAATGTGATGGAGAAAAGAAATAATCTAATCTCTAGAGGAACAAACTAGGTAAAACCAAGAGAAGACAAGGTAACTTGCAAAACCTTCTTCTTGTTCATTGTTATATATTCTGATTTAATTAAACCTGTCTTACCAGAAACAAAAGGCTCAATTCTACAATTTCTTCTTACTAAAATTAATGCATCTTGATGGCAGAAAGTATCTCTGCATTAAAGACAGTGGGACTAGTCACTGCAGTAACAGGTTATGTAGAATTAGATCGAACTGAAGACATGAATGTAAGTGTATGTATTCATAATATTTTTCTTCATAGACTACCCTAGGAAGGATGACACAAAATCTGTGTTTCAGAGGTGATATTGCTAACAACAGTGTAAAATCCCGCATTCTCTCTCCAAGGTTGGGCTGTGCATTTCAGCTAGAAAGTGCCGTTTTTAAATAGGATAAAAGAATTTTGTCAGGAGACAGTATTCCTGAGAGAGTATTCCTTAACACCAAAGATGCCACAGAATCTGAGACAAGCTCCATGAAACTCAGACCGGGTTTTTTTTTTACTATGCAGTGTTTTCTGGGCTTTTTACACATATCATCTTGTGAAATGAGTGCAAGACGCTGCATGGATTCTAAAGTAGCGCATTGCCTTGTCATAAACTAGTTTGGACCAAAGTGGTGGGAAAAAGCACAGACAATGGCTGTGTTTGCTTTTCGTGCAAAATCTGCAGGTTTAATTTGTACAGAAGGTGCGTAAGCCTCAATAGCATTGGCCTCATTTTGGATCCATCCTGATCATTTCACATGGTCTCATACAGAGAGGTACCAGCTACCCATGGATTTGACACGTATCAAAATGTAAGTACTTGGCACCTCTTAGCATCAGCGATACTGATGTCATTGGAGACATTCAAATTCTACAAGCAAATTTAAATAACAGAGAAGATCCATTTATTGCCACAGTTAAATATGACCAGATCATTATTTAAAAAAAAAAATATTTTATGACCAATTTCTTTGATCAATTCCAGTTTTACACACAAACTCATTTTGATGACAAGCAGCTGTTTATCTTACACACTAAGATAATTTAACATCTTTATGAATCAGTTCTCTAAAATTTTTACAAGTTCTAATGTTAGTCACCACACTTTAAACATCAAGTTGCAAGTGTCCCACGCTTCTCAAAATTACTAATTGAGTTTTCATCTTTAAGAGTCTAGCTCTTTTCCTAATTTTATTCTTCCTATTTTTAATTACAAATTCAAGCACAATACAGCACAGCAAATACAGGCTGAATTGAACTTATGGAAAAGAGTTTCCAAAAATGCCTGAGCGTTCTCCGTAAATTCTGCTTCAAATACCATTGTGAATGTGTGTGTGTGTGTGTGTTCATGTATAGAGTCCTGCTTGTACAAGTGAATATTACAGAAAAATCTTGGGTTTGGTGTCGTCAGGTGGTACCCGAACGAGATGTCAAAACCAAAGCATTTATATATATATATATCACTGAAATAGCCTTCAAGTTCCCAGCTGAAAGGGAAAGTCATGTTCAAACCTGACAACAAAAAATATTTCTGGTTAGACATGAACACGAGTTTTGCGTTTTGACTCCCGCGCTGTCTCAGGCTGCCAAAAAAAAAAAAAAAAAAGGCACCATAAAGTAACAACGTAGTGACCTGGAGAAGCACAACAGGAGCCAGGCAGGAGGTGGGATGGGGACGCGTGCTTGTCACAGCGGTTATCAGCTGCATCACCGTTTTTCCCTCTTTGGAAGAGAGGTATTTACAGAGAGGAGTATCTGGCAACGGATCGACCTTTCAATTCCATTCCAAATTCAAACTGGTTTGTATTTCATGTAAAAGAGCGAACCCACGGCAGCCTCCGCACCGGAAAACCGGAGGAGAAATCGCTGTT